GACAGACAGATTTCAACCCATAACACTAGGAAACTCATTTTTCCACACTCTGTTGTGTCTCAGATTTTATCTTAACTATCACCATGTTTTAAGTTATAACTACACTGTCAGAAGACTTGGAGGGAGGACAGTTGATGGAATCAGGGGTACCAGATGAAAGGGAGAAAAAGAAAACATTGATTGCAAGCCACAAAACTGTAGGAGAAAACTCATATTTTATTTTTTTATTATTTTTGTTATTTTTTTAATGTTTAATTTGCAATATCATGCAAAATCGTTCCGGGTATCCCACTCAGAATCACCAGGCACCACTCTTGAAAGACATACTCTTTTGCTTTCAACTCATAACTTTGACATAGAATCTCATGTTTTCTTCTTTCCTCTTCTTGGCCAGCAAATAATTCTGGATTCCTAAAGTCATCAATTCCAGTCTAACAACTCCAGCTTGGATCACTCTTGTTTCATTATATTTGCAAGAATGCTGAGCTTTGGATTAAAAAGGAAAAAAAAAAATTCATCAGCTACATAGCTTTCCCCTGCTGAACCAGAGACCGGAAAATAAATGTTTGCACCTTTAATGACCTCTATTGTCCTGACTTCACAAAATCCCTAGTGGGCAGCTAATCCCTTGGAACAATACAGTACAGATGTTTCACATGATAAGAGGGCTAATTCCAGACCAATCAGAGCCACTCCAAATGTCAGCACACCAAAATAAAGTTAAAATATGGGGCAAACAGATGCAACCTCCACAGTCTGATCCCTTTGTTGGTGCGTCATTCTACAGTAATGGGTGATACCTGCTTTGTTTAAGGCAGTGACAACTTTCTCTTTAGTAAGAATTGAGCTGCCTTGTTCCTTTGTGTCTGCTGTGTTCACCACATTCAGGAAAACACAGAAAAGGATATAAATGCATGTCTCTCTCTGTCTGTCTCCCTCCCTCTCTTTTCTTCCACCCCTATTTTTTTGTGTCTCTTTTCTGATCTTCCTAATATTTCATAGTGAATTTAGAGATGAAAGGAGATGAATAGAAAGTTAAAATTTTATGTTAAATCAGTTCAATTATGCGATGCATTCACCATTGTGGTATATCATCTTTTTCCCAAATATTCTTTCTTTAAAAAAATTTTTAATGTGGGGCGCCTGGGTGGCGCAGTCGGTTAAGCGTCCGACTTCAGCCAGGTCATGATCTCACGGTCGTGAGTTCGAGCCCCGCGTCGGGCTCTGGGCTGATGGCTCAGAGCCTGGAGCCTGTTTCTGATTCTGTGTCTCCCTCTCTCTCTGCCCCTCCCCTGTTCATGCTCTGTCTCTCTCTGTCCCAAAAATAAATAAACGTTGAAAAAAAAAATTAAAAAAAAATTTTTTAAATGTATATTTAGTTTTGAAAGAGAGAAAGTGGGGGGGGGGGGTTGGTGCAAAGAGAGAGGGAGACACAGAATCTGAAGCAGGCTCCAGGCTCTGAGCTGTCAGCACAGAGCCTGACATGGGGCTCAAACCCACAGACCCAGAGATCATGACCTAGTCTGAAGTTAGACGCGTAACCAACTGAGCCACCCAGGTACCCCTATCTTTTCCACCAAATTTTCATTGTTAAAGAAGGCTTTCATTTTGTTTCCTTGCTTACTTATTTGTTTTCATAACGTTTCTTAAAACATAACAATATTCACATGCTATTGAACTTTGTGAATCTGAACACATTTCATCTTTACCAACAGAACTATGGCCTGCCCATAAAATGTCTGTTTGCTTATTTGTTTGGTTATTTTCTTAAAGCTGCCTACACCCAGGATCTGACCGTTAGTAGACCAAAACATTTACAAGACAATTGTTTAGTGACCATGTTTGCTTAAAGAAATAATCCAGGTAGGATGTTTCTTTCAGGAGAAAATAAGGGCTTCCTAAGTCTTAGCTTATGATCTATTTATGTCCTTGCAGTTGGGAATAGTGTAAAGTAATGTAATTCCACAGGCTTGAGTTTTAGAATGCTCATTTAAACAGCTCACACATTAAATTATGATGTGGTCTTTGCACTTGAAAAGACCCTTATGCAACATGAATAATCTTTTTAAAGTCTGCATTTGGCTGCTGACTTACTTGATTGCAGTGTTCTTATAAACTTTAATTCCACTCTGAGGAAAAAAAAATATATACAAATGATTATTAAAGCCAAATTTATGCTAACTACAAAAGAATAGCCAAAAAGTCACAAGCGTTTGAGATCTTTGGACAGGAAGAAAACACTTTTTATAAATTAATAAACATTTGGGGATGAAGATGGGAAGAAAATTCAATGTTTGGCACCAATTGGTCCTATAAAAAGAACAGATACCTGAGCATCCTGCGAAGTATTTCTTAGCAGCAAAACCCAGGAGATATATTAGATCTATAAGACTTTATAGTGAAAATTTTTGGTTTATCAGATTAGACATTAATTGTTGAATATAACATTGCATATAATATGGAACATTGCAATAAAACAATAAGTGGATTTATAATTACTTTAAATGAAGTCAAAGTCATGAGAATTATATTTGATGAGGGAGCATGGGACAAGCTGAGGGCAAAGTATAGGCTAGGAGCACCTCCCCACCTCCTGGTGGGACGTCTGTGATGTTCCTTGGACACTCCTGGCTACCCAAGAACAAAGGAAAGGGGTTTAAGTGCTTGCCACGGTGATGTGGGAAATTAAGGCAAATGAAAACTTAAATTCTCTTACTTCCTACAGTCCATTGACAAGACCCTGAAACCCAGAGTGACCTCCCTCCATGAGCTCCACCACCTGGATGATGATACTTTGCCGGGGTCAAAAGAGAACCTTAGCTTAACATTATCCCAACCTTGAGGATTCTGTAAGTCTACTTCCTTTATCTCAGCTGCCCCAAGATATATGCTGACAATCATACTCCAAGCTTGTGGCCTCCTGATATACATCTGAACGGTCTCATGACAGAGGTTTTACTAAAAGGCAATAAATGGCATTTCCTTAGCAACAGCTAGCCCCTCTAGGTTCTGGAAACCTTGCTTCCAAAATTCCTTAGAGACTTACTTTATCCCTGACCGCCTCCCAACCCGAGGGTATGTAATAAGTTTCCTCTCACAACCCCAGTGCAGCTCTTCCTGCCCATGGGTCCTGTCCCCGTTCTTTAATAAAATCACCTTTTTGCACCAAAGATGTCTTCAAGGATTCTTTCTCGGCCATCAGCTCCAGACCACCCCACCATCACCCCAAAACTTCATCATAGTGAGACATTTTTGCTTTTCTATTTGATCAAATCCTCTCTTCCAAAAATATGTCGTATTTAATCTGTTCTGAGGAGAGTTATCATGAATTTCTTGGACTATTTCATAATTTGGAGCTTCTAAGTGTTAAGCTAACAAGAAAACTATGCATGAAGATAACTATCTGAACATTTGTAGGCTCATCCATCATAGTGAAGAAATATTTAAATATTCTGGGAAATTCTGCTTAGAGCCACAGTGAGAGAGAAAACTTATTTAAAACAATAAGAGTTTTCTGGTCACGTGCCATATTTCCTGCTCCATTGTGTTTGGCACCAGGAAACAACTTGGCACGAATGGCTGAAAAATCCATCAACAACTGTGTCAACTTTATCACTTCCTGAGCTTATGCTTGCAGGAAGTGGATACAAAAACAGTGATTTAATAGGGGAAAAATTACCCTTTGCCATTTGAAAATTTAAAATAATATACATTTAACACTTATCTGCTATCTCTCTGTAGTAAATAAACGGGAAATTTATCCTAAGAATAGGCAAGGCATATATTAGAATACACCAGATGAGCTTTCATTTATGAAATACAGTGAAAAATGTGTGCCCTATTTTTTCCATTGGTTGTTGATAATGAGTAGTTTCTAAAACCTGAAGCAAATTATACGAATTTAGGTGTGAATTGGAAGGATAGGAAGAGAAGATTGATACACAGGATGTCAAACTAAGAAACACTATAAAGATGTTACCTCTAGAGAGAAGTAGTTATTTTGCTTCTTTTATGGAGATGTAATAGGTGATCAGAGTAGATGGCCAAATAAGAAGATTCACAGGGCAGAATGGCATAATGGCAGAAATAACTCTTCATTGGGGATATTAAAAGAAATGGAAAGGTACAAAATGTTTTTTTATACTACATTTGGAGGAGAAAACAATAACAAGTAAAAGGACAAAAAGTCCATTAAGTGTTGGTGGCCTGAGACTGATCTTTTGGCCATGGATTATAAAACAACCTCATTTTTGGCTCTGGTCCCTCGATGCCCAGCTTGACTAGGGGTATTCACCTGATGGTTTATAATACTTACAGCTGAGATATTAATCAATGATCATTGCTAAAATTCCCTAGAAAACAGCCTTGGTTTTTTATCAGTTTTATTGCCTTTCCTACTACAAAACATTTCTTCCAAAGAGCACTGTCTTCAAGCCTGATTAACAACTGAAGGATAAATTGAATCCAAATATTCTTTGAAAAAACTGGCTATCAGAATGACTTAATATTCAGGAAGACAGACACTTCTCTCTCCTGAAATATGCAGTTAGGCCATATTTTTATAAGACTGATACTTTTGGGAAAAAAATATTCTAGATTATGCCTAAATTCATATATCTAGCAATGTTTCAAGAATACTTCCAGTTTTGGGGCGCCTGGGTGGCTCAGTTGGTTGAGCATCCGACTTCGGTTCAAGTCATGATCTTGTGGTCCTTGAGTTCCAGTTCCATGCTATGCTCTGTGCTGACAGCTCAGAGCCTGGAATCTGCTTCAGATTCTGTGTCTCCCTTTTTCTCTGCCCTTCCCCCTCTCATGCTCTGTCTCTCTCTCTCTCTGTCAAAAGTAAATAAACATTAAAAAAATAAAAAAAAAAGAATACTTCCAGTTTCTACAGTATCTAAAAGTTTTTTCACAGAGACTATGTTTTTAGATGCTGGGATTCTTATTTCAGAATTAAGAATACTAAACTCAGTGACAAAAATGACTCACCTATGTCACACAACAATAAGTAGCAAAACTTAGGCTAAAAACCATATCTTCTGACTCCAGCATGATTTTCAATGTAAGTGTCTCCATGTGTTTCAAGCTATGGCCTCCAGATCCTAAGGGTATTGAGCGGAAAGTTTAAGTGTCAACACAGAGACTCGATAAAATGATCACACTGAGTTGTGATCATTGTGATGTGTTGGAGCACCGCGGCCATTGTGGAACCCAGGCAACTCCATTAGAATCTATTTGAATATTAAGCATTCTCATAAGTTTTTATTTATTTATTCATTTATTTAGGAAAAGGCAGTTTGAAAACAAAACCATGCACTCTACCATTATTTCCCACAGGTTAATACCATAGTTGCTTAAGCCCTAAATCTAAATTTGACAAATGTAAATATGAGAGAGACTGACTAATGAACGACTTCTTGCACTGTCGGTGCGGATGCAAACTGGTGCAGCTACTCTGAAAAATAGTGTAGAGTTTCCTCATAAAAAGTTAAAAATAGAACTACCCTACAACCCAGCAGTTGTACTACTAGGAATTTATCCAAAGGATACAGGAGTGATGATTCAAAGGGGTACATGCATCCGCAATGTTTATAGCAGCACTTCCAACAGTATTCAAATTATGGAAAGGGCCCAAATTTTCATCAACTGATGAGTGGATAAAGAAGATGTGATATATATATATATATACACACATATATATATATATATATATATATATATATATAACTCAGTATAGTACTCAGTGGAATACTACTCAGTGATGAAAAACAATGAAATCTTGCCTTTTGCAACAATGTGGATGGAACCGAGGGTATTATGCTAAGCAAAATAAGTCAGTCAGAGAGAGATATCATATCATGTGTGGAATTTGACAAATGTAACAGATGACTATAAGGAAGAGAAGGAAAATTAAGATAAAAACAGAGAGGAAGGCAAACCACAGGAGACCCTTAAATACAGAGAACAACCTGAGGCTTGATGGGGGTGGTGTGGGGGGAGTGGGGAAAATGGATGATGGGAATTAAGGAGGGTACTTGTCAGGATGAGGATTGGATTTTGTATGTTAAGTGATGAATCATGGGAATCTATTCCTGAAACCAAGACTATACTGTATGTTAGCTAACTTGAGAACAAAAAAATAATCAATAAATATAAATAAATAAATAAATAAATAAATAAATAAAATTATATAAGATTAACCTTTAGAACTAAACTATATGTCCCTCAAACAAGCTCCCAAATTGATTTTACAGAACAATATAGCTAAAAATAGCTTTAAGGATCCAATAGTACAATTTTTTTTTTGCATCTTATTATTTTATTTATTTATTTTTGAGAGAGAGAGAGCTGGGGAGGGGCAGAGAGAGAGAGAGAGAGAGAAAGAATCCCAAGCAGGCTCCACACCCAGCACGGAGCCCAATGCGGGGCTCTATGTCCTGATCATGACCTGAGTCAAAATCAAGAGTGGGACACTTAACTGGCTGAGCTACCCAGGTGCCCTTGCATTTTATTCATAAGAAAACAATCAGAGGACAAAGAGATAAAGATAAATAACAAATGGTGAATTTGATACTCTTTATCCAGAATTGGAAAAAGTCTATTCTATGATAGGCTAAACCAAATAATTTTATTTAGACTAAAACCTATACAATGGAATATAGAAAGTATTAGACAATTGTAATGACCTGGTTGGCATTCTTTGTTAATCCAAATAAAAACAAAATATTGAAAGGTAAATACTTTCCAATTCTCAACTGAAATTAAAATTGCTATTAAAAAATCCAAGCTTGTACTAAAATAAGGAGATTTCAGTAAATTTTAAGAATATTTTAATATAAAAAAGAATATTTTAATATAACATCAAAGTTACACTAGCCTTCTTTTTAAAAAAAAAAATTGATGTTTATTTGTTTTTGAGACAGAGAGAGACAGAGCATGAACGGGGGAGGGTCAGACGGAGACACAGAATCCGAAGCAGGCTCCAGGCTCTGAGCTGTCAGAACAGAGCCCGATGCAGGATTCGAACTCAACAGACTGTGAGATCATGACTTGAGCCGAAGTTGTATGTTCAACTGACTGAGCCACCCAGGCGCCCCAACACTAGCCTTCTTATAGTCATGGTGAATTCTCTGTCTCGACCATACAAATAGGTACTGAAAATTGTTAAAAATTATATTAATTCATTTAGTATATATATGTGCTTCTCATTATTCTTGGCAGCTGCATTCTACAATGTCACCATAAAACATGAGCTGGTGAAACTGAGGCATCCATTCCTAGGAGAAATACAGGATTAGGTTCCTATAAGCCTCTGGTTACAAGGTTTTCATCAATGGATCAGTACATAACCTGTTTAATGTAGTTTCGGTTTAAAGACACCTTATTCAGTATTATTGTTGATTTTTTAACATTGAATTCACAACAAACAGCACGAAAATGGTGAAAGAAATTTGTCTAACACATGTGTTTTCTTCGTAAGGCACATCCCAGCTTTCTCAAGTTTGGTAAGTAACATCAGACAATCCTTTGGCACTATGCTTGGAGGGTATTTTAAACAATAGAATCATCCCCACTACTACCAACAAAGCAAAAAATGAGAATGTGGCACTAGATAGAACTTTCTAAAGGACAACTTTATGATATGAGAGCTGAAACAAAGAAGGCAGAATATTGCCTTGTTCAGTCTCAGCTAGGAACACGGGTGATAGGCTAATAATTTTTTTGCAGCATATCCACAGTTTTGCACATACCCACAAATGACAGTGAAAATACTGTAGATATTGTTTGGGGGGGGGGGTTGCAAATAAGCCATAGACACTAGGTGAATTCACAAGTACAGGATCCAAGGATACTGAGAATTTGCTTACTTATTGAGAGACGTCTATACGAAATGCATTTTTCCAGTATTTATTTTACCAGAGCTCTTAGCAACTACAACAGTTCACCCTCTCACGCATTTCTGAAAGTTTCTCTTCCCTTCATTATCAGGACCTTGTACTCCCCTTCTAAATGTTCATCTTCCCCTCTGGCTTCCTTTTCCCATGTGCTGTGTAGGCTCCATCTCCTCTACCGCTTTTCAAAATAGTGACATTTGGGGCTCTCGGGTGGCTCAGGTGCATAAGCGACTCTCGGTTTCCGCTCAGGTCAGGATCTCACGATTCTGTGATCGAGCTCCATACCGGGCTATCAGATAAGCATACAGCCTCCTTGAGATTCTCTCTCTCCTTCTGTTCCTGCCCCTCCCTCACTTGTTTGTGCATGCATGTGATTTCTTTCTCTGTCTCATAATAATAATAATAATAATAAAGTAAAATACGCAACTCTTTCAGGAATAGTCCCAAAGCTTATTCTCCTTTTACTGTATACTCTCCATTCACAAACTCTTCTATACTCAGAAGACTCACAAAATTTTATCTCTAGTTCACATCCTTCCTCTGAGTTTCAGACATATATACCATGGACGACTAGACACTTCAAGGTCTCAAAGGCACCTAGAAATCAATGTGCATAATATTGAATTTATGATCTCACTCCACAAAACTTGAACCTGCAATCTGAAGAATTTACGAGCAAAAGAAACTTTTATAGCATGGGTCCAGGAGAATATTTTGAAAATGATTTTAGGTTGTACATAGCGGTAGGGATGGTCCTCTTCTCAATGTTAAACAACCTGGGCTCTCTGGTACAAGGGAATGCAGAGTGCCTTCTAGAAGGCCTCCCTTCCCTGGGGCAAGAGCACCATCTTCCAAGAAATATCATCACCATTTCTGATAGTACATGAAGCTAAGTCCAAGATCCAAGGCAAAGTGAGAAATGTGTTCAGATAGTCTCATTAGACTTCTTCCTAGTAACCAGATTAAAAGTTCTATTGGCAGTTACGATACAGCAGCAAGAAGTCGATAATTTTTATAAATTTATTTTAAGAGAGAAAGAGAGAGCATGCAGCAGTGGAGGGCAGAGAGAGAGGGAGAGAGAGAATCCCAAGAAGACTCCATGCTGTCAGCATGGAGCCCCATGCAGGGCTCGAACCCATGAACCATTAGATCATGACCTGAGTGGAAATCAAGAGTCAGATGCTCAACTCACAGAGCCACCCATACATTCCTTGAAATCTATGCATTTTAACCTTTCCCACAATCTTTTGGTGATGATTATTACATTGAACTAAGTAAGCTAAATTTTGTAAGGTGATATTTTTATTACATATTTATATCTTCCAAATCTATGCAGAGCATGCATTACTTTTTTACTGATAAAATAACTAACATCATCCATAATTATATAAACAAAGAGAATAATTTTTGTCAGCCTTTTATAAACCTGTTGATTTATTTTATCAGAAATGCAGCCTCTGATTGCACAGATCAAGACGAGTATTTATAGAGGGTAATTGATGGCACTAGTGAGATTTTAAATTCAGCATTTGCTCGTTAGAGGAATAGTTATGCAGTGTTCTGGTTAACACAAATTTTGAAATTTCAGACTGCTTATCTTGGAATCTTGTTGTAACCTCATAAACATTTTTGAATGAACTGATGAGGCAGTAATGAGAGGAGGAGGAAAGACACATTTTTATGCATTTTCAGGTAGTTTTCCTCTTCCCAGACACAGAATAAACTTTCTAAATGGCCAACATTAGATTTATTTTATTCTCCTTTGATTTATTTTTTAAAGTACTTTGATTTATTTTTTAAAGTCCGGTTTATAACTTTGTAGCTTGTGGAAAGTGTAAGTTTTCCACTTGACTGGTAGTTTAAGTTTATGATATTGCTTTAAATTGAATTGAATTTAAATTTAAACATCCCCAAGTTTCAGTGTCTTAAGTGTAATTTTTCTTCATACAGCAGTTCCATGAGGTGATTCTCCTCGGTGAGTGGATATTCCGCGTAACAATTCAGGATCCAACCTCCTTCTATCACATGGCTGTGATTTATGCTGAAGTTTTAAAGATGTATACTTGGATAAAAAAGCATACGGAAGGGACAACTGCTTCTTAACCAACCCAAAAGATAACATTATCCTCTTAAAGCAGATGTCATTAAAGTCATCCATTTGATAACTGTTTCTCATCATCAAACGCAAAGTCACCCTGGCGTGAACAAATACGCTGGATATGTGTAAATATACTAATCCATTATGGAAGATCCTTGAAGTCAAGGACATTTTTGTTTACCTGTGTATTCATCTTTTTGTAGCTATTTTTTTCTCTTTGGGTGTGAACTCATCTAGTCAGTCCCTCTAGCCATCCTGTCTCATAAAAGGGGGTAAGGGGACCTAAGAAAACTTGCAAGGCCTCAGCCCAGAGACTCATGTCTACTAAAAGACTGAGAATTATCATAAAATTAAAGATGTTTTCCCCTTCTTCATACCTTACCACCACATCTAAAGAGCTCTAATGTAGTAAGAGTGGTTTTCAGCTGAAAAGTCTGCATGATTCTGAGGAGGGGCATTTTTTTTTAATGTTTATTTATTTTTGAGAAAGAGAGAGAGAGAGAGAGACAGAGTGAAAATGGGGAAGGGGCAGAGAGAGAGAGAGAGGGAGACACAGAAGCAGGTTCCAGGCTCTGGTCTGTCAGCACAGAGCCCAATGCGGGGCTTAAACTCACAGACTACGAGATCATGACCTGAGTCGAATTCGGATGCTTAACAACTGAGCCACCCAGGTGACCCTCTGAGTAGGAGGATTTAGAGAAGCCCCAAGTCAACAGGGGAGACAAAATAGAGATATTTAGAAGAATTTGAAATCTCTGGCACTTCCAGCTAGAGCAAATACCAAACACAACCCAACTCCTATTCAGATTAACATAAATCCTCTCAGTAAAAGCTTACTTCTCCAAGTTCTTATTACTTGATAAGCATGACAAACTTTGAAAAACTAAATAACCAGGCATGCCAAAGGCAAGTAAAAAACAGTCTGAAGAGGCAAAGCAAGTACCAAATCTGACTCAGATATGAAAATGTCAGAATTATGAGACAAGGAATGTAAAATAACTATGATTAATATGTTAAATACTATAACAGAAATGAAGAATACCTTGGGCTGACAAAATGGTAGATTCAATGTGGCCAAGGGGAGAATGAATAAGCTTGAAGAAGGATCAACAAAAACATACCAAATTGATACACACAGAGGCAAAAAAAAAATGGGATGAAAAAGAAAAAAATAGACCATCAAAGACTTGTGAGTGTGCTGGACAATTTCCAAAGGTGGAACATATACATTATTGAAATGTCAGAAGAGGGGGCGCCTGGGTGGCGCAGTCGGTTAAGCATCCGACTTCAGCCAGGTCACGATCTCACGGTCCGTGAGTTCGAGCCCCGCGTCAGGCTCTGGGCTGATGGCTCAGAGCCTGGAGCCTGTTTCCGATTCTGTGTCTCCCTCTCTCTCTGCCCCTCCCCCATTCATGCTCTGCCTCTCTCTGTCCCAAAAATAAATAAATGTTGAAAAAAAAAAATTAAAAAAAAAAAAAAAAAGAAATGTCAGAAGAGGAAGTTGGAAAAAAAGTCAAAGAAATGTTTGAGAAAATGGTATCTGTGAAATTTCTGAAATTAATAACACATACCAAATTATAGATCAAGGAATGTCAGGCACCACCCATTGAGTTACCCACCCCAAATGGCACATGGACGTATCATCTACAGATGGCAGAAAACCAAAGACAAAGAGAAAGTTTTAAAGAACATAGAGAGAAAAAAGTGTACCTTACTTACAGAGGAACTAAGTTAAAAAATTAACATGGACTTTTCATCAGAAATTATTCAAGCAAGAAGAGAACACAGTAAAATATTTAAATTAGTGAACAGAAAAAAACACCCAATAATCTAGAATGATATACTCAGTGAACTTATAGTTCAAAAATGAAGGAGAAATAACAGCTTTTTCAGAAAATTACAAACTAATAGGACTTCATAGCCAGCATATTTGCACTGCAAATTGTTAAATAGAAGTGATGCAGGGAGAAAGAAAATTACTTAGGTTAAAAACTCATATCTACAGTAAAGAAAGAATAGTGTTAAAAAAGAAAAACATGATGACAAAACAAAATATTTATGTTCTTATTGTCAATTTACCTAAACAGAATCATTATTTAAAGTAATGCTAGTAACCATATGTTGGATATTATAGCCAGTTGATAAGAGAAATGAATGACAGAAATGTCATAAGGGCCAGGGAAGGGAAGAATTGGAACTGCTCTGAAGTCAATTGCACTCCTCTTGGAACAGTATAGTGTTATATGAAGAGGAATTTAAATTATTTAAAAATGTATATTGCAAACTTTGAAGCTAACCAACAATTTTTAAAAATCATATAATAGATATGTTAAGAAACTGAGATAAAATGCATAATTAACATCAGAAAAAAAAGAAAAAAAATTAAAATTAAAACAAATGCAATGAATAGAAAATGTTAAACATAGAGAGGGAAGATGGCAGCGTAGGAGGACGCTGGGCTCACCACGCGTCCTGCTGATCACCTAGATTCCACCTACACCTGCCTAAATAACCCAGAAAACCGCCAGAGGATTAGCAGAATGGAGTCGCCGGAGCCAAGCGCAGACGAGAGGCCCACGGAAGAGGGTAGGAAGGGCGGTGAAGCGGTGCGCGCTCCACGGACTGGCGGGAGAGAGCCGGGGCGGAGGGGCGGCTCGCCGGCCAAGCAGAGCCCTCGAGTCTGGCTTGCAAAAAGCGGAGGGGCCTGACGGACTGTGTTCCCACAGCAAGCGCGACTTAGCGGCTGGGAGGTCATAAGTTAACAGCTTTGCTCAGAAAGCAGGAAGGCTGCAGGACAAAGGGAAGGAGAGCTGCTGAGCCCCCTGACGACAGAGCTCAGTTTGGTGGGGAACAAAGGCGCTCGCCAGCGCCATCTCCCCCGCCCATCCCCCAGCCAAAATCCCAAAGAGAACCAGTTCCTGCCAGGGAACTTGCTCGCTCCGCGCAAACACCCAACTCTGCGCTTCTGCGGAGCCAAACCTCTGGAAGCGGATCTGACTCCCTCCTGCTGCCACAGGGCTCCTCCTGAAGTGGATCACCTAAGGAGAAGCAAGCAAAGCCTGCCCCTCCTGCCCCCGTGCACCTTGCCTACCCACCCCAGCTAAGACACCAGATCCCCAGCATCACAAGCCTGGCAGTGTGCAAGTAGCCCAGACAGGCCACCCCACCCCACAGTGAATCCCGCCCCTAGGAGAGGGGAAGAGAAGGCACACACCAGTCTGACTGTGGCCCCAGGGGTGGGCTGGGGGCAGACATCAGGTCTGACTGCGGCTCCGCCCACCAACTCCAGTTATACACCACAGCACAGGGGAAGTGCCCTGCAGGTCCTCACCACGCCAGGAACTATCCAAAATGACCAAGCAGAAGAATTCCCCGCAGAAGAATCTCCAGGAAATAACAACAGCTAATGAGCTGATCAAAAAGGATTTAAATAATATAACAGAAAGTGAATTTAGAATAATAGTCATAAAATTAATCGCTGGGCTTGAAAACAGTATAGCTGACAGCAGAGAATCTCTTTCTACAGAGATCAAGGGACTAAGGAACAGTCACGAGGAGCTGAAAAACGCTTTAAACGAAATGCATAACAAAATGGAAACCACCACGGCTCGGATTGAAGAGGCAGAGGAGAGAATAGGTGAACTAGAAGATAAAGTTATGGAAAAAGAGGAAGCTGAGAAAAAGAGAGATAAAAAAATCCAGGAGTATGAGGGGAAAATTAGAGAACTAAGTGATACACTAAAAAGAAGTAATATACGCATAATTGGTATCCCAGAGGAGGAAGAGAGAGGGAAAGGTGCTGAAGGGGTACTTGAAGAAATAATGGCTGAGCACTTCCCTGAACTGGGGAAGGAAAAAGGCATTGAAATCCAAGAGGCACAGAGAACTCCCTTCAGACGGAACTTGAATCGATCTTCTGCACGACATATCATAGTGAAACTGGCAAAATACAAGGATAAAGAGAAAATTCTGAAAGCAGCAAGGGGTAAACGTGCCCTCACATATAAAGGGAGACCTATAAGACTCGTGACTGATCTCTCTTTTGAAACTTGGCAGGCCAGAAAGAATTGGCACAAGATTTTCAGTGTGCTAGACAGAAAAAATATGCAGCCGAGAATCCTTTATCCAGCAAGTCTGTCATTTAGAATAGAAGGAGAGATAAAGGTCTTCCCAAACAAACAAAAACTGAAGGAATTTGTCACCACTAAACCAGCCCTCCAAGAGATCCTAAGGGGGACCCTGTGAGACAAAGTACCAGAGACATCACTACAAGCATAAAACATACAGACATCACAATGACTCTAAACCCATATCTTTCTATAATAACACTGAATGTAAATGGATTAAATGCGCCAACCAAAAGACAGAGGGTATCAGAATGGATAAAAAAACAAGACCCATCTATTTGCTGTCTACAAGAGACTCATTTTAGACCTGAGGACACCTTTAGATTGAGAGTGAGGGGATGGAGAACTATTTATCATGCTACTGGAAGCCAAAAGAAAGCCAAAAAGAGTAGCCATACTTATATCAGACAAACTAGACTTTAAATTAAAGGCTGTAACAAGAGATGAAGAAGGACATTATATAATAGTGACAGGGTCTATCCATCAGGAAGAGCTAACAATTATAAATGTCTATGCGCCGAATACCAGAGCGCCCAAATATATAAAACAATTACTCATAAACATAAGCAACCTTATTGAAAAGAATGTGGTAATTGCAGGGGACTTTAACACCCCACTTACAGAAATGGATAGATCATCTAGACACACGGTCAATAAAGAAACAAGGGCCCTGAATGAGACATTGGATCAGATGGACTTGACAGATATATTTAGAACTCTGCATCCCAAAGCAACAGAATATACTTTCTCCTCGAGTGCACAAGGAACATTCTCCAAGATAGATCATATACTGGGTCACAAAACAGCCCTTCATAAGTTTACAAGAATTGAAATCATACCATGCATACTTTCAGACCACAATGCTATGAAGCTTGAAATCAACCACAGAAAAAAGTCTGGAAAACCTCCAAAAGCATGGAGGTTAAAGAACACCCTACTAACGAATGAGTGGGTCAACCAGGCAATTCGAGAAGAAATTAAAAAATATATGGAAACAAATGAAAATGAAAATACAACAATCCAAACGCTTTGGGATGC